GAAGGACCGCAAGTCTGCGACCGAGTAATGACCAAGGACCTGCGTCTCAGTAGCTATATCTTATAGAGGCATGAGGTTCCCCAGGCTTGGCTTTATCTCTGAACTTGCAAGTCTGAGAAAGAAAACATCTGTTATGGCTGTTCTTTTCAGTGGCCTTTTTTTTAACTTCTTATATCACACACATCGCAAAGGCATTTACCCAAACAGCCCTGGTTTTAAACTTTAAGGTGAAATACACGGAGTCTTTCTTTTTTCCTGGCGCTCAGGGTCGAACCCAAGGGCTCAGGCGTGCTGAGCGCAAGTGCTCCACCACTAAGCCATGATGCCCCCACCCCCACCCTGCCCCTGTCTTCATTTAAACGTCTGATCCTCTCTGCAGGTAAGATGATATTTAGCTTGGTAATTCCCTGAGATTGACATAACCTATAGCAAAAGCATTGCGTGTGAGGGAGTACTTCAGTCCTCCAGATTTTACTTTAGGGAACTACATCCTGAAGCAGGTGTCTGCCAGTTTCTTTGTCAATGGTCAAATAGTATTTTAATGGCTTTTTGGACCAGTATTTTATCCTGTGTGAGCCGTGGACACTCTGTTGTACCTACTCACCTTTGGCCATGTCATACAAAGAAAGCCATAGACAGTATATAAGCAAATGGGCTGGGTATGATGATATATACCTATAATGCCAGGAGTTCAGAGGCTGAGGCAGGAGGATCTCTGTGAGTCTAAGGCCAACCTAAGCTGCATAATGAGACTTTGTCTCTAACTAACTAACTAACTAACTAAACAAACAAACCCACTCCAGATCCCAGGGCTATGAAGTATAAGGCCTGGTTTTTACCTTTTAAAAAATGGCATGGTTGTTCTGTGTTGATAAAACATTATGGATACTGAAATTTTAATATCATATAACTTGTCGTGTATCACAAATGTTTTTCAGTCATTTAAAATGTAAGCACCATTTTTAGTTTTCAAGCCATGCCAAGATAGGTGGCAGCGCCCCAGGTCCTGGATGGGTTAATGAGTGAGTGCTAAAGGACTTCTGAGTGGTAGGAGACTTGGAGAGTGGTCACAAGATAGTAGTACACTTGGAAGTTGCCTCTGGATCGGTTAGGAGAGATGATTTAGAAATAGGCCTAGAAGGGACTTGAGGGAGAATAAAGCTAACCAATATAGGCCAAGAAGTCCCTCAGTTTCTCTCCCCGTGTTTCCTGCAGTTCCAGTCTAAGCAAAATGGTTAGCCCCATGGCAGAGGACTACAGAACAATTCTAATTACCATTCGCTGCTCCTGAGTGCCTTAACAAGCTTTTCCAGTTTGAGCTGTGGTGGCTGGCGTGTGGTTAGCAGAGAAGTCCTAAGCTTTCTCCAGCATGAGCACAACCTGAGGCTGGGCCCTCCTCCTAGGGCATAGAGACTTGGCTGGCTTTCTGTGCCACGCGCCCTCAGGGTAGCCATCGTGATTTCAAATATGAGGCCCATCCTCCTTACAGCCTAAGACCTTGATTGGCTCTAAAATGTTAAACTTTGAGAGTCAAAATTAAATTCTCCTTCTGAGTACGGTTGGAAAAGGTCCTCAGCCTTGCGCTGGTGCCTTGGCCCAGTGCCCTCAGAGGTGAACTCACCTTCCAGCTCCTTCTTCCTCCTTGGCAAAGCTTCCTCTTTCTCAGCGGCATACAACAGCCAGCTGTGCTCCTGCCTGTAACCCCAGCCCTGTGGGAGGCTGAGGTGAGGGGATCACAAGTTTGAGCCTGGACAACTTAGTGACTTAGAGTGAGCCTTTCTCAAAAATAATAATGATAATAATAATAAAAAGGGCTGAAGTTGTAGTTCAGGTGCAGAAGCTCTGGGTTTAATCCCTAGTACTGGGAGAAAGAAAAAAAGAAAGGCACATCATAGGGATTCTCCCTCTCTCTGGCTCTGTGAATGCCTTTTCCCAAGGCTTCTACATACCTTTGCCTGTCTGCCTCATGCCCACGCTGTACAGTTTGTCCTAATAATTACTAACCCTCTTAGTCCTGGGTGGCATATCCTGTGGGAATGTCTGTCTGATGTCAGCATTGTGCCTGCCAGTCCTCGTCCTGCCTGTGCCACCCTGGCCCAGCTCTCTGCCTGATCTCAATCCACACACCTCTCATCTTCCTAAACCTCTTGCGGACCATGCTAGGCCCCTCTTAGCTTCTCCGAACTATATACTGAGACCCTTTCAATAAGTAAATAAGTAAATAATCACCCACCCTGTCAGCCATCCAACCCCAGAGCCCACCTCTTCCATAATCTGTTTGCTCTGTCACCACACATTTCTGTCCCGTCAGGCTAGAAGTAAACCACAGCATCAGTCCAATTCTGATTTAGCAACTCATATTCTTTCAATTTTGCATGTGCTGCTGAAGTAACAGGGATGAAGGATGTATAGCTCAGTGACAGAGCACTAGCCAAACATGCATAGGGTCCTGAGTTCAATCCCTAGCACCAGCAAAATCAATCAATCAGTCAATCAATCAATCAGTTAAATATAACAGTTTGGAGACATACCGAAAAAGACATTTGTATTTTTAATCTTAGCATGGATGATTTGTCTCCTTTTTATTTTCTTTGTGTTTTCAGAGGTTCCTTCTTCGACTGATTTGCTACACCAAGAGTTAGCGCAAGAAGGTTCTGTCTCTCATGGCCAGCCTCCAGGAGCCGTCACGTCTCCCTTCCCTGCTCTGGTGGGTTCTTCAAAGCCTGCTGATCTCTTAGGGAGAGATGTATCTTCTCAGAGGCCTGGATCTTCAGCTCGCCTGCAGCACCTCTCCCAGATCAGCCAAGCACATATCCAGGACCCCATTAATAAAGACAAAGGCCATTCTCAGCGTTTACAGTCTTCCTCAGATCCAGAAGTGGCACATTTGTGGCATGAAAACTCAACCATGGTTTCCCCTGCAATGGCCACTGGATTTCAACGTAGTAGCTCTGCATCTCGGAAACCTGTAGTTCTTGTGCCCACCAGTACCTCAAAGATACCTCCAGTGACTTTTCAACCACAGGTGGCTCCCACAGTTCCACTCATTACCACTGTGCCCTCTCAGTCTCCTCCAGCCCCCGTTTCCACAGTTTTTACGAGTGCTGTGGCTCCACCCCAAGCTGTGACTACAGCACCAGACCTGACTACCATCTTTCAAGCATCTAGGGACTTCACAGGCATCCCAGAAACGGTGCCCTTTAGAGAAATCTCCAAGCTCACTTCAAACACAGGGCATGTGCATAGCCCTACTATACTCCCTTGGTCAAATGTGGAGTCTTCCACTACAAATAAAACTATTACTTGGGAAAATGGGAAGGCCATTGTAAATAGCTCATCACCAAGAAATATTCTGGGAACACAGTATGGCCTTCCATTTGAAAAGTGGCTTCTCCTGGGGACCCTGATCTTTGGTGTTCTGTTCCTAGTAATAGGCCTGGCCCTCTTGGGTCGGATATTCTCAGAATCCCTCCGCAGAAAACGGTATTCACGACTTGATTACCTGATCAATGGGATCTATGTTGACATCTAAGGGCAAAATTCATTATCGCTTGATTCACTAAGAGCGACAGGCTCTTGAAATTCTTTGATCTGAGCAAATTAGATTTTGAAGACAGGAAAATGTTCCCTAGCACCTTTTTTTTTTTCTTCAGTTTTTAAGACAGGAGAAGACTCAAATTAGGTAATTTGTGTGATCATGCTAAAATATTCACTGAAAATAAGGCTCTACCTAAAGTAAGACAGTGTAATTGCCATATAAATTGGAAAATTCAGCTGGCTCTATGTAAGGAAAAAAAGGTCAGGATATCAAGATTCCAATTGATTAATATATCTGGTTCCACATAAAGTCAACTGTTTATGATATTGGTTTTAATGGATTCACTTTTTATACGAATTCCAATAAAACTTATTCCAGATGTATTTCCTTCCAATTAAATATTTGAATAAATCTTCTGTTACTCAGTAATGTTCCTGTAAGTGATATGTCTATGCTGGATAACTTTCAATTTATTCCCACCAGCAAAATGATGAAATGATGAAAATATGTGCTTCAAGTTGAAATGACAACCCCCCCTTCCCGTCAATGAACAAAGAGATTCACTTGGGAGGATTTTAGTTTAGTTGGAGACAATGATAAATCAGTTCCAATAAATAGCCAAATTCACTTGGGATCTGTCCTTTTTTCTTTTCTTTAGTATTAACATTTTCTAAACTTGTACAAAGTTTGAAATGTACCCATATTACGTATAAATCCATATATATATATATATATATATATATATATATATTTTAAGGGAGGGGTCTACAGGCTATTCAGGGTCTCACTACTAGATTGGACTCATAGTGGCCGCTTGTTTACAGCCTCCTGAAAGCTGGGACTACAGGCGCGCACTACCACGCCCAGTCTCAATTGCCATCTCAGTGTGCCCCGGGGGCGAGGCCAACACGGCAGGCCTGGGGATTGAACCCCTGGGCCCTGTGCCTGCTTAAAGGTGCTTTAATCTGCTGAGCTATTTGGCTGGCCCTTAAGTCCTTAAGTTTGGCCAACATTTTATTTTATTTGGAACAGCATTAGAAAAAAGATATAGCGCTTAAGTTAGTGTGCTATAATTTTCATTGAATGCTGAAACTTCTGGGAAACACTTAGAATGATGAGAATTTGTGATACAAGTCATAGTTGGGGTGGCTACCTGGCTCAATTTGGTACCTTATTTCTTTGGAGTCATCTGCAAAAAAGCTTGGTGTCTCCCAGGCATAAGCAGGGTTTTTAAAGATTTTAAAAAATGGACTTTCAGCAGCAGGTGTTGGTGGTAGACATCTGTAATGCCAATACCTAGGAGTCTGAGACAGAAAGATGGAGAATTTGAGCCTAGACTGGGCTGCTTGAAGGGTGGAACAGCTGTGGATTTTAGGTGACAACTTTATACACTGTACACTAGAGGGCAGTATATAGTTAATAAGTCCGTATAGGAACGAAGGCAGAGGTAGAAAATTACACAAAATGGGATTTTTCTTTTTTTCTCACCTCCCCCTTCCTCTTCACTTTTCACTTCCGCTCACCTGGTTTCCCTCCCTCTTCCCCTAGGTTTATGGGTAAGCTCATAAAGCACATTAAGAGGAAAGTGGGTCTCCTGAAAATACTATTTTCATATATTTTCCAATTTAACAGTTTGACGCAAGTCTCCAAGGGCTTTATGTAAGCTTTAAGTAGGTTGAATAAATAAGGCCTGAATCAATTTAATTTAACAAGTATTTATTGAATACATGTAGACCAGAATCAGATTATTAACCAAGTGCTTTGGAATTTCAAAATATATCGTCTCTTTGTTAATGGATTTAAGAGTGAATGTGAGGCTTTCTGTGTACATTTATAAAAAGCTTTCTTATGGTCCTTCTGTAGTTCTCTGCCTACCTGGCTACAGCCTTTCAGGGGACTATGTGCTTTCTTGGTAGGGAGACCAGGTAGAAGGCTGTAGCAGTCAGTAGTCCACATGGGAGGCAATGCCACTGCCCGTGGTATCTACAGGAAAGTGGGTTGTAAGGGAACATCCTCACCTAAGACAGACTTCTGTTATCCCTGTCACAGCATGTGAGGCTACTGCAAGGATAAGCAAGGCAGAAGATGTCTGTGCTTGCTTACTGGACTCAAGTGACCCTCCTACCTTTGCCTCCTCAGTGCTGGGACCCTAGGGATATACCAGTATGGCCAACTGCTCACTCTTAGATGACTTTAATAGTGACTGGTCTAGCCAACCTTTCAGACAAAGTATACTAAAGCATGAGCCCTCTGAACCTTTGGCTTATGGGAAAGGAAGGTGGCAATCTAGAACAAAATGAGAAGACTAAGAAGGTCTCTCTGCTTAAAAATAACCTTTCTGCCAGCTGAGTGTGGTAGCCATGCCTGTGATCCTAGCACTCTAGAACACAGAGGAAGGAGGATTGAGGTTGGAGTCCAGCCTCAGCAAATTAGTGATTTGGCAAGACCTTATCTAAAAAGTAAAAAAGTCCAGGAGTGTAGCACAGTGCAAAGGCCCTCATTCATTTCCTAGTACTCCAAAAACTAAAAGTCCTTGGGCCACAGAGATAGCAGCCTGAGCAGCTGCCTAGGCAAGCACAAGGCCCAAGGTTCAGTCTCCAGTACTGCGTGCTGTGCCAGCCCGGGCCCCTGGGCATTCTGAGCTGGCCACCAAAACAGGCATGGCAGCGCACGCCTGTAATCCCAGCACTGGGGAGGCTGAGACAAGAGGATCACTAGTGTAGTGAGACCCTGTACCAAAGGCATACAATTAAAAAAAGAAAAGTCCTCTCTTTAGCTGGACATAGTGAGGCACATACCTGTAGTTCCAGCTACGTGGGAGGCTGAACCTGGAATATCTCTCAAGTCCAGAAGTTTAAAGTTAGCTTGGTTGGGGCTGGGGAGATGGCTCAGTGGAATAAGTGCTTCCCTGGCAAGCACAAGGACCTGAGTTCAATCCCGGTTCTGCCAAAAAAAAAAAAAAAAATGTAAACAACATTTGGGGCCAGGGAGATGGCTCAGTGGTCTAAAGCACCTACTTAGAACAAGCTTAGCAAAGCACAGGGACTGCGGTTCAATCCCCCAGCACCACAAGCCAGCCAGCCCCGCCCCCTGGTGGACTGAGCTGGCCACACACACACACACACACACACACACACAAATAAATAAATAAAATTTTTAAAAAATAAGTAAATAAAGTTAGCCTGGGCAATTGCCTCAAAAAAAAAAAAAAATCTTTGTCAATAACAAGATAACTTACTTGGGTCAAAACCTACTCAAAAAGAAAAAAAAAAAAACTTAATAAACTTAAAAAACCTAATAAACTTGAATTAGTCACTAATCCAAGATGAAGTCTGGCTTGTTCACTCCAGAGGAATACTGCTACATCTTATTTCTCAATAACCTGTGGCCTTGACACTCTGGTTTGCAGGTTGTGGTGGGCACTACTGGTTTTCCACCCAAGAGCCATACGCAGCTGCGTGTTTGCCATGTTGTGACAGATTGGAGACGCACAATTCTCTTTGCCAATCCATCTGGCAGTCAGGGCAAAGTCTGTGACCCAGTTTCAGCTGAGTGGAAATCTACTGGGGGCTGCTGGGATAGATTTTGCCTACTTGTTAGTGCACTCCATGAGGAAGAAAGGTCTTTTTACTCCCATCCCTCTGTTGTCTGCTTGGGATACTGGCCACGTGAGGACATGATACTCACGCCTAGTGCAGCCTTTCTGCCTCAGTGAGGGCAGAAATAATTAACATGCTGGGATGTGGAGACAGTCTGGTCCCCAGTATCTTGGCTAAAGCAAAGGACTAACACTGGAGCTGCCAATTCCAGCCTTCTTCTAGGAGACCATATCTCCAACATTTGCAGCACTTTTGTTCAAGTATCTCTTTGCTATGGTTTATACATAGATGTCCCCTCCAAAGGTTCATATGCTCACAGGCAGGGCTTTCAGGAGTGGATTGGATTATGGGGACATGATACTTATCAATGAAGCAGTCTGCTGCTGAGTTTATAACTAAATACGATTTGGGAGGTGAAGCCTGGATGGAGGAGATGCGTCACTGGGGTGTGTGGCCTTGAAGGGTCTGTCTCCTTTTTCCTTCATAACGCCCTTGACTTCCTGACCACCAGCCTCCTCAGCCATGCCCCTCTGCCATTCTGCCCTCCCTTGTGTTGCAGGCAGCTGAATTAGATAGAAATATTATAAGCAGTCAGATAGGGCCAGGCCCTCAAGGGAGACCCGCTCAGAAGACAAGACACCTTGCAACTGTGAGGGAGATGGATGCTCCCTCTGTGGACCAGACCCAAAGACCAAAGATCAAATCAATGCTTAACTCCCTAAAGATAAGTATTTGGGATTGATCATCACCTTGAGGAAGTCAGGAAGAGTCACTAATCCAACCATGACCAGCTATCAGACAAACTCCTGTTCTGTATACATGCCTGCTTGCTACGTGACTCACTTCCCTAACCGGTCTTGGATTTAATGAATTTTAGCTGCACAACTGTGCTTATAATCTTATTGGTTGGTCATAGTTTTGTCCCACCTTATGTGCAAGTTTCCATGTTTTCCACCTTAGACCCACCACATGGTTTTGCTTTATAAAAATCCCTGGAAAGACAGATTCTGAGACATTCCACTCGGGTCCCCATTCTGTTCCTCTCTTGGACAGGAGCTTTCTTTCTCCCAATAAATATATTCTGCTCTTAACCTCTGTTTGTTCCTAAAATTCATTCTTCAGTTTTAGAGAACACGAATTCATCCCAGGTACCTTTAAGGTTGGGAGTTTCATTCCCCTATATCACTTGGAGCCAGTTGACTATGAACTGAAACCTCTAAAAACTGAGCCAAAATCAACCTGTCTTCTTTAAGGTTGTAGGTGTTGGATCTTGTATCTCAGCAATAAGAAAGCATCTAAGACAGCTTGTGGTATCAGGAATGGGGCTGTTGTTGTATTACTACCTGACCGTACGGTTCAGAAGCCTTTGGAACTGGCTTGAGGTGAGGAGTATGGAAAAGTTTGGGGATGTTGGCTGGAGAAGCAGCCCGAGAATCCTGTAAGCCAAGCTCAACGGGAGAGTCTGATGAGAGCTGAGAAGACCAGAATGTTGACAGTGCAGCTAGAAAGGGCCAGGCTCACGAGGTTTTACTTGGGAAGGACTGCATTGGCCGTGTGTGTTATGCTCTGGCAGAAAATTTGTCTGTGTTTTGCTCATGTCCAGAGACTTTGTGGGAGACTAAGATTAAGGATGAGTGACTAATCTGGCAGGGAAAATTTCAAAGCAGCCAAATATTCAGGCTGTGGCTTGGGTACTGGTGTGTGGGGGGCTTTTAGCCAGCTCTACATTGCAAATCAAGAGCAAACAGCCCAGAAGAATGATTTAAAAACCCTTGAGCTTGGCC